TGTGTGTGTGTGTGTGTAATTCTTCAGGTTAGTGACTGGTGGGAGGAATATGTCTATCTACGTGGACGGAGCCCGTTAATGGTCAACAGTAACTATTATGGCATGGTATGAAAATCTTCTTGGTGTAAGAAATGTTTGGTCTAACATGGTGTAGTCCTCACTTTGGACTCATTTGGATTCATTCTGCAAATCATTAGGTTTGGTTGCCATGAGGTGGAAAAAATATGGATATAATTACTGCTTGTTAGACTAAGACAGGTGCTCTTTTTACCTTTTTATAAATCCACACACACAGCAATCGGAATATGTTTAAGATATGTCTTCTAAAAATCCTTACATAAACAATCCTTAGTTTTGTGATCACAGCAAACATAGCAATAGTGTCTGAGTAATAGAAGTCTATCACTACCTACAGATAATTTTATTTGGATAATAATCTCTCACATTAGTCCTCCTCCTAACTTCCTGTCTTTGTTTGTTCTCTCCCCCAGGACTTCTTGTATGTGACACCCACACCCATCCAGGCGGCCAGAGCAGGCAACAGCATTTATGCGTTCTTCCTATACCGCCGCAAACTCAACAAAGAAGAGATTAAACCTGTGAGTGTAGCCACCAGTCAACCCCAGCTGCTCCATATACACGGAGGCGTTCATGATTCAAGTCTCTTAGCTACGGCAACAAGACTTGTCAATCAAATGTCTCAAATTTTGAGACATTGGGATTTCTTTGTGGAACATTCAAAATACATATAATTACAGTACAAACGTTATGAGACCATCAGTAGGTGTTAGGACTGTGTGAATAACATCCATCCAAGAGTGTTTGTGTGTCTTGACTGTTTATTGTAGACAGAATGTGCATCTCCATTCGTTTATGTAGTTTTCATGTTTACGTAAAGACATTTCCCTCATGTTCTCATACCATGCTCATCTCTCACCGTTTCCTTTTGTACTCCTTTCAACCTCTTTCGCTTGCTTGATTTCTCTTTATTTACCCTCCTTGTTTCCTCTCACTCTTTAAAAAAAACAAAAAAACATTCTCCCTCTTTTTTTGCTTGACTCTACGTTTCCTCCACTGCTCTCCTCTGTTCTTCTCCCTATGCCCTTGCCTTCGCCTTCTCCTCTCCGTTTCCCAGAGTCGTATACCAGGCGCTGGTATTCCTTTGTGTGCAGCTCAGTGTGAGAGGATATTCAACACCACACGCACTCCTGGAGAGGAGACCGGTAAAGAGACTGACATGTACACACACTGTGGCGACGTGATGTTTTACACATCGCTGATAATATGATACATGATACCATCTGAACATGAGCAGTTAACTTCAACGAGAGGGCCCGCACAAGTTTCTGACTTCATAGTGAACGAAAGCTAACACACCACTGCTTCAGAGATGATGAGGCATACTGAAGGTGTCTGAACCCTCTGGAGTTTGAGTGTGGGATCGAACATTGTGTGAAAGACTGTGTGAGTGTGTGTGTGTGTGTGTGTGTGTGTGTGAGCGTGTGTGGTCTCAAGCAAGGCATCGTGATTCACTGAGTCATAATATGTCTGCTGTACAGCCCGTCCTGTCATCTCTCATCTGTCTCCTCTTGCCTTCTGGTCTCATCTCAGGTCTGTCTTGGTTTTCTGGAAAGGGTCTGTCTCTAACTAATGTCTATTTTCTTCTGCCCACACATTTTATTTTCTCATCTTTTCTTCTCTGTCTTCTCTGTCTGTTTCATTCCAACATTCTCCTATATTTGTTTTCTATCGTCCTTTTTGCTTCCTCTCTTTCTCTCCCTTATTTTTTTTTGTACTTGCCCATCCTCCTTTATCCTGCTCAGTGGTTGTTGAGGTCTGCAGTTCCCTGCTGTTCCTATCAATTTGAGCGGATGTTTGACACTTGTCGAATCCCTGGAACACTAACAGGTAGTATTTATATTTCTACACATTTCTGGCCCAGTTCTAGTTTTAGATGCCGATATAATAGAAATATGCTTAACATTTTACTGTGTATGATTAAATCGGAAGACACATCCCTGTCTCATATACAGTAAATGTTCCTTGTACTCATCAAAACAGTCTTTGTTTTCAGTAAGCATTTAGAGTCATCCTAGTACTCAAGGTAGGCTAAGTCGGTATAAAAGAATTGTGAAGTTAAAGACGTTTCACTGTTCGTCTGAATTTAGTAGTCTTTTTAGTATGACTTGTAGAGTCAAATCACACAACACCCCTCTCATATCACTTAATGTAACATCCAACAATGAACTATTTATTTTGGCAACAGATGCTGAGTTGTGGTTGTTTTTTTTTTTGTTTTTTTTTGTTCTTAACCATTTCTAGTGAAAGGTACAAGGAGGGTTCCTGTTGTCCAAGAATGTATATATTCAAACCTATTTAATCTGATAGCTGTCCAGTGCAAATATAATCAGTTTGTGGCCAGTGAGTAACTTCACTGGAGCGAGTTAGGGGTTAAGTGCCTCGCTCAAGAACACCTCAGCTGTATTTGCTGTGGGAAGTTAAACTTTTGCTAGTGCACTGATTCTGACACTTGAGCTGACAGCCTGTTCACATAATAGTACAGGCAGAAGTGTAGACAGTTGTCAAGTTTTAAAACTTAAAAAGTTGTTTAAAAATATATACAATTAGGGTCTTGGGTCCTGATAGCTCACCTGGTACCAAGACTGAGTTCTTGCTGCTGCTGCAATGGGTTCAACTCCGACCTGTGGCCCTTTGCTTGGTGTCATTCTCTCTCTGTTTAGCCCCTTTCCTGCCACTCTTCCGCTGTCACCATCAATTAAAGGCGATAATAATATTATTAGAATAATAAAAGTGCCCCCAGAAGCCACCAAAAAGAAAATACAAATATAAAAACATTTACACTTACCTCTCTTTTCTGCGCTTTTTTACGTGCAAAGACTCTGTGCAGCATTGGCAGGACAGCGACTACATAGCGGTATACCACAGGGGTCGCTACTTTCGTCTTAGGGTGTACCAGGCAGGCAGACTCCTGTGCCCCAGGGAGATTGAATTCCAGATTCAGAGGATCCTCGATGACCCTGCACCTCCTTCCAAAGGAGAAGCCAATCTCGGTGCCCTGACCGCTGGAGATAGGTTAGTTTGACGAAGCCACCAGGGCTTAGATCACATTGACCATACAGCACACTGCAGCCTTAATTTAATGTCATCATTTGTCTCTGAAATGTTTCCCAGAATTCCATGGGCTAAAGCCAGGACAAAGTATTTCAGCAGTGGGGTCAATAAACGCTCTCTGGACTGCATTGAGAAAGCCGCCTTCTTTGTGACCTTGGATGATGATGAACAGGGCATGATGGGAGATGACCCGGCAGCTAGTTTAGATTGCTATGCCAAATCCTTGTTGCATGGGAAATGCTATGACAGGTAATTTTACACTAAACTGATCATTGTCTTGTGAACATGCAATTAGGTAAATTAGTTTATAATGTTGAAATATTGTAGTTTTCCCTACAGCCTTCAATCATTATCTTGCTGTCATGCAGGTGGTTTGACAAGTCCTTTTCAGTTGTTTACTTCAAGAATGGAAAGAACGGCATAAACGCAGAGCACTCGTGGGCCGATGCACCAGTGTTATCACACTTATGGGAGGTAAGGAACATGCAATGAATGTAGGGTGCACACTGTGGTCTGGTTCTGAAAAAAGACCATCACTTTGAATTTTTGTATTTTCCAGTATACCTTGGCCACCGACTGTTTCCAGCTCGGTTACAATGCAGAGGGTCACTGCAAAGGAGAAGTGGATTCATCACTACCACGACCACAGAAGCTGAACTGGGAAATCCCTCCAGAAGTTAGTTATCCCTTCTCACGTTTCCCTTAATTCCTTCACTACTTTGGCTAATCACCATCAGATCATAATTCACATTATGCTCATACTGAACCAATACTCCCAATTGAACTATTTCAAATTTAAATGTAGGTACCGTAGCATGAAACGAGTTGTCAGCTTTGTAACACCATATAACATTTCCAAGCATTAATAACAGTGTTGGACTGCTAGACTAGTGGTTCAACTGTTTGATAAAATGATCTGTGGTAAGCTTAGCTTAGCATAAACACCAAAAGTAAGTGACTTGGCTCTGTCTAAAGATCAGCAAGTACATGTACTAGCCCCTTAAGAATTTAATTTAGGAGCAAGATACATCTCATCGTTCATTAATCTGTATACAAACTCAAAAACAGAAAGTAACCTGGAGTCCCTGCCTGTTGCCTAGCAACTTCACATTAACGACAACACTCCAGCTAAGCTGCTGAACCTTATATTTGGGATACAATACAAACATGATAGTGGTATCCACCAGTAACACAACAAGAAAGTGAATAACGTATTTGCAAAAAAGTCAAACTGTTTACTGTTTCAGTTGTAAACACACAAATTGAATGAATTGTATGTGACCACATCGATTCGAGAGTCTAAGGACAGAGGGTGGGGCGATTTGTGATCTAAAATAAATTCAATAAATTAAAATTTAATTTGGATTGAAAAGACAAGAGTCTGGCCAATTGAAACATACACTTCATGTTGATGTGACAAAAGGGGCAGGAAAAAAAGCTGAATTATTTGTAACTATAGAGAAGCGTGGCTTATTCTTTTGAAACCACAATGCAGTGGTTATCGGTATCTCAGTCTAGTTGATATTAACTGTTTGTGTGTCTGTCTCAGTGTGAGGAGCAGATCTCCCAGTCTCTGGCGGTGGCGCAGGCCCTGGCTGACGATGTGGACTTCCATGTTTTTGCCTTCCGAGACTTTGGCAAAGGAAAGGTCAAGAAGTGTCGAGTCAGTCCAGATGCCTTCATTCAGATAGCTCTTCAGTTGGCCTACTTCAGGGTGAGCCTCCCTCTGAAGTGGAACGTGTGTGTGTGTGTGTGT